GCACTGGTTCAGATGGCTTCACAGGGAGATCTTTACCAAATTTTCAAAGAAGAACTGACACTTATCATGCTCAAACTATTCAAAAAAAAATCCAGAGAAAGGAACACTTCCATGCTCTTGTTATGAGGCCAACATTATGCTAATTCCAAATCCAGATAAAGATACTACCAAAAAAAGAGACTTACAGGCCAATATCCCTGATGAATATAGACGCTAAAATCCTCAACAAAATTTTAGCAAATTGGATCCAGCAATATATTAAAAAGATCATACACCATGATCAAGTGATATTTACTTCAAGGCTGCAAGGCTGGTACAATGTTCACAAGTCAATAGATGACATAAACAAATTGAAAGACAAAAATCACATGACTATATCAATAGACACAGAGAAAGTATTCAACAAAATCTAACACCCATTTTTTTTATTTAAAAAAAAACTCTCAGCAAAGAGGATTAGTGGGGGGTATATCTCAACCTAATAAAGGCCAAATATGACAAACCTACAGGCAAAGCATACACATGGGCAAAAACTAAAACCATTTCCCATAATATTATAATAGGAACAAGACAGGGCTGTCTGCTTTCACCACTCTTATTCAACATAATACTGAAAAGCTTAGCCACAGGGATCAAATAAGAAGAAATGAAAGTCAGCCAAATTGGAAAGAAGGAGTAAAACTATCATTATTTGGGAATTACATTATATTATACATAGAAAACCCTAAAAACTCCACCAAACTACTACTAGATTGAATAAATGATTTTGTGTAATGTAGAAGGATACAAAATTAACACCCATAACTCTGTGGCATTTTTATACACAAATAGTATATTCTCAGATAGAGAAATGAAGAAAAACAATCCCATTTATCATTGCAATAAAAGTATTAAGATACTTATGAATAAACTTAACCCAGGTAATAGAAATAAAATACCTGTACTTGGAAAACTACAGAACACTGAAAAAAGAAATAGAGGAAGATATAAATAATTGGAAGAATATGCCGTGTTCATGGATTGGCAGAATTAACATCATTAAAGTGTCCATACTACCCAAAGCAATCTATAGATTCAAGCAATCCCTCTTAAAATACCAATGGTATATTTTGTCAATTTAGAACAAATATTCTAAAAAGTTGTATAGAATCAAAAAATACCCCAAATAACCACAGCAATCTTGATAAATAAAAACAAACTTGAAGCGATTACAATACCAGATATAAAACTATACTACAAATCACTGTAATAAAAACATCCTGGTACTGGTACAAGAATAGGCATATAGATCAATGGAACAGAACAGAGACTCCATAAATCAACCCAAACCATTATGCTCAATTAATATTTGAGGTAAGAGAATACAATGGAGTAAATACAGTCTCTTCAATAAACTATGCTGGTAAAATTGGACAAATATATACCAAAACTATAATTCTAGACCACCAATTTATACCCATACACAAGAATAAACTCAAAATAGATAAAAGACTTACAAGTAAGTCATAAAACCATAAAAATTCTAGAAGAAAACATAGGCAACAAGATTCATTTTTCTTTCTTTTTATTAAATGTAACATTGGTTAATAAGATTATATAGTTTTAAAGTTTACATTACTATGATCTTCATATTGCATTATTTTCCCACCACCCAAAGTCAAATCATCTTCTGTCATCACCATACATTTCACATCCTTTATCCTTTATTACCCACAACCACCCCATTCCCTCTGATAACCACCATACAGTTGTCTGTGTCTATTAGTTTTTCTTTATTTTTCTTGTTTGTTCATTTGCTGCTCTAATATCCACATATGAGTATCTACCCCCCCAAATTTGAAAACATTTATTCACAAAGACATATGCACCCCCATGTACACTGCAGCATTATTCAAGTGGCCAAGACATGGAAATAACCAAAGTGTCCTTCAATAAATGACTGGATAAAGATGTAGTATGGGTGAACATACAACATAATATACAGATGATGTATTATAGAATTATACCTGGAATATTGATTCATAATATTATGAATCAATGTTGCCATAATACATTTAGTTAAAAAATAAATAGAGTGAATATCATGTTAAGCGAAATGTCAGGATGACATCTGGGACTCATGTGGGATAAATACCACGTCTTAAAAAATAAAATAAGTACCACTTCTTATTCCATAGCAGGATTTGGCAAACTCTTTCTTTAAAGAGCCAAATAGTAAGTATTATAGATTCTTCAGGCCATGACATCTCTGTCACTTCTACCCAACTCTGAAAAAGCAGCTATAGATAATAAATGAGTGGGTGTTACTATGTTCCAATAGAACTTCCTTTCAAAAACAAGCTGCATGCTAAATTTTATTCACTGGCTACAGTTTGCAGCTATCGCATCCATAAGATGGATAAACTATAGGTATTTTTCTTGACAAGTAAGTTGTTTATCCATTATAGTCAGAATTTTTAAAGCTTTATTAAAATAACATACCATTCAACTCATTCATTTT